TGAAGATGAAATATCGTAGTAAGTTAATGTATGTGTTTGTGTGATTAGGTGGAGTCGACTGAAAGAAATTGTAACATTAACATATCCTCCAGGATTGGTGAACTGAAAGGAATGCTGAACGAATTGGTTGCAGCTATATTGTCTGGGAAACAACTGTTTACTGAACAGACACATATTGCTGAAATGAAGCAAATGATGCAGCAAGTGCTGGCAGGTTTATCGGAAAAAGCACAATTGCCTCGCTCAGAGGAAAAGGGTGTTGAACCTACCATGGGAGTCGAGTTACATGATGGCGGCGTGGTCTTCCCAAATTATTATGGTAGCCCAAATGAGGGTAATGTTCAAGATTTACAGGGGGTGGATTGGGAGGACAATTATGTGAATGGAATGTTGTCCAATGAGATAATTGATATGCACGTTGGACAATTGCGTACCGTCCAAGAAGTTAGGGACATGCACAACAACCGTGGCCTTGCGTTGGAGGAAACATACGCAAGCGAAGAAAGCAAATCTCTTTCGGTTCAGTTTCTGGCCATGAAGAACGTTGCAAAACAGAGTTTATCTTCCTTTGATGATTTGCAAACCTTGCCACCAATGCGAGGAGAAGCAGACAATGTGCATCCTTCTACTGGTAAGGTTGCCCAAACATTGGGAGCGGGACAAATTGTAACAGGCACACGAAAGGGAAGAGGAAGAGGAAGAGGAGTTAAAGCGACAGACGTAGGGGATATGCATTCGTGCAACGATAGCAAAATAAGTACTCGACTTACTGCTGAAAAATTCCCAAGTTGCCATATCACTTCACCTTTCGTATGTTTCATTACCAATTGATGCCGACAGCATTACTGATCATAATAGAACCATTATTTGTGTTGTATTTTAATATTTGTCATTCTAGTGCAAGTTTGCAGTAACAAATGTTGTACAATTGTCTTACAGATTTCGGACAAAGTCCTATCCAAACTGCACAGTTGGACAAGCGGTTTCGTTCAGAGATTAGACATCGCTTCACCAATTTTAGATGCATAAGGATGTGTTATGTACTTTGCAAATTAAATTTCTAAACAGTGGTGAGTTAGTTAATTGTTTATATTAATAGGAGGAGTTGATGTTACTTGATTGCTTATATTGATAGAAGGACTTGATAACACTGGAGAGCATAGAGGTTTTATCAGCGGCCGAACACGAAGTTGTTGACTCTGTACTTGACGACAGAAACAATGAAAGGTACGGATGAGTTTAGTACTCGCAATTAACCTATTCCGTAGTATTTGTGAAATAAGTTTGAATTCCACAATTTTCATGTGTCGTGCTATGTTTATTTGATTCTTGTAGGTATTAGTTCTTTAATTTTTCATTCTCTATGATTTTGATGAGTTTATGATGGGTTTATCCATGTCGTATGTAGGATTTTCTTTGAATTTAATGTAGTGGGCTACGGAAAGATCAGTGGCTAAATTTCTTATATGAAGTTTTCTTCTTTTGGTCTTATCCTGCACACATGTACCTATTGGGAAAATTGCAAACCACTGATATTTTCACAAAAATATTTACAAATTCATGGAAACCTTTATAATTTTAATTATGAAACTTAATAACGTTTACCAATGATTTGCAATTTTTTTTGAAAACTTATAATGAAGTGCAATTTTCCCTAGCTATTTTCTTCTACTCTGCTTACATTTTCCATTTTGATCATTTTGGGATGTTGTTGGCTTCAGTTTGTAAAAAATGTGTTTCTTTTTTTTTAACTTGCTGACCTGTAAATGAGCATTTCAATTTTCACATATTATTTTAGCAAATACTATTGGACATGTCATAAGTTGTAATATCTAAAACTTTGTCTTTTCATTTTGTTTTTTAAAAACTTAAAACTAATCTTCATTGGATTGGAGCCTAGTAGAATCAGGAATATCTGCCATAGTTGTACAACAGAAAAAACTAATCTTATGTTGTAGAGTTAAGCCAGATACGTTTAAGTTTTACTAGGCTGTAGGTTGCTTCTTACTGGTTGATGTATACGTTTTATGTAGGGACATTGTCGTGTCTATAAATCTGCATGAAATGCCTTGCGAATGTGCTACGCGACGTGACATGCGCATGCTGAAACTAGGGGCATGGCTATTCGATACTGTAAGTCGTGGCATCTGACAATGTTATTTCCACTATATTTGCATGATGGACATATCCATGTAGGGACATTGTTATTTCGTATTACATTTAAACAAATGGCAAACCTTCTTTCGCAAGTTGTCTGGTCTGTTACAATGTTCTAGCCAATCAACTTGGTCGCGGTTCAATTGACTAACGGACAGCGGCAAGTACACAAAGACGGTAGGCATACTGCGTGGTTCTTTCCAGTATATGTGTCGGTAAGTAAGTGTTTTAGGTCGGTTGTGTATTGCAGAAGACATATTTTCAGAAAACTTTGGCTGACTGAACTTTACACACTAAACATGCAGACTTTGATACTAAATCAAAAAACTCAACCTCTGAACCATGAAAATATCGTCAAATCATATTTTGGACATGACAGATATACTGGGGTGCTTGATGCATGTCAGAAGGTAATATGAATGTCCATCCTATTGAAGCGAGTAGATTTAATATGAACGTCGGTAATATGAATGTCAATCCCATTTACATGAATGTCAATGTAAATATGAAAGTGCGTACATGTTCGCATGCCCTCTAAATAATGTCTCCACTTGTGTTTATGTGTAGATTTACATGCCTTTCAATTATAGAGGAGTACATTGGGTGTGCCTAAAAATAGATATGGTAGACCGTGTGGCGTACCTATTTGATTCATTGGTATCCGCCACACTGGACACCAACAAGTTGAACGCAGCAAAAATGTTGGTATGTCGTGTTGAATTTCACAAATCTACTTTCACACTGTCACATCCTTCACATAAACTAACCGTCTCATTCTGCAATAGGTCCAAACAATGCATGCCTTACTGCAACTACAGTTTGGAAATGAATATGTTGTAGACGTGCGTACCTTTGACGTCCGCATGTTAGAACAAAGGCCATTACAACAGCTGGACGAGTAATCCACAAACCCTGCGTCACATTGACTTCACTCCTGAATCACTCATTTAACGAACCTGCTTATATTTTACGAGAAACTGAATGTTACATTTCATTTGTAGCACTTTCGACTGTGGGATGTTTGTGATCAAGTACATGCAGCGGCCTGATATACCCAGCGGTCCACACAAGGTACATTGTACCGCTTAATTTCCAATTGCGAAATAAATCCGTTTATTTCCTACCGCTGTAACTGTACCTGATTTGTGTTATTCACTTTCTGTACATAGTTTCATCCTTCTGTGCGCCGGAAGTTGGTGCTTGACTTCGTTATGGATGTGAACAATACAAAGATGGGCGAGTATCGTTCGTGCATGTGATTGATTGCAATTACAACAAATAGGGCAGCGATTTTATCATGGCCTGCCAGTACGAGACTAATTTCGATGCCCAACCACAACTGGATTACTGCATCAGCTTGTCGTGACAACTTTTTAGGACGCAGCTGTGATAATACTAATTTCCCACGCGTATTGATTGTACACATAATTCTAATGCTTGGGACTGGAACAAACGAGGAAAAGTAGTAATGTTTGTTTGCTTTTATCGTGGCCTGTACGTAATGTGATACACATAATTCCAATGTTATGGGTACAGAACAAACAATGCAATGCCATATTTGCCCAAATGACTATAGTAATGTTTGTCCAGTGCAATGTGATATTTGTCCAACAAACAATGCAAGTTGAAAGTAGTAATGTTTGTTCGCTTTTACCACATGAATTATGTTTGTTCGATTTTTTTGAATGCCATGATTTTGTCCAAAACAAAGCAAAAAAAAGCCCATAGAACAAACAAATAGCAGTGACTATAATGCACTTTGAAGGGGAATTGATTACTTCATAACAATGCACAAACGGTGAAAAATTGCACAAAAAATAAAAACAACCATACAACAGACCATTAAAAACACAGAGTATTGATATTCAAATTTTTTTTTTGTTCAGCAAAACAAAAACTGTATTGATGAAAAAGCACATACAAGGTGTCAATGATACATCAAGAAAGAGGAGGTTGGAGCTTAGTTGGTGAGAGACCAACGAAGAGAAACAAAAACAGAAGGAAAACAATAAGAATGTAACTCCAAGCCCATCCTCACAAAACCACATAACAGGGCAACCAGATGAAACTCCAAGGCAGCATGAACAAACTTCAGACCATACAGCCACCATTGAGACTTGAGCCTGAACCTTCAACCTCCATTGAGACTTGAGCCTGATCCTTCAACCTCCAAAAAAAAAAAATAATAATTACAGCAGCAGACCAACAATTACAACAAGGCCAGCAGCAGACCTCCAATAACTTTTCCCAATCCAGCAGCAGACTTCCAATACAGCACACCAAAACATCATTCAAACAATTGCAAAAAGGCCAATATGCAGCAGTAGACTTAAGCCTATTCGTTGATCCCATATAGCAGCAGCAGAGTACATATATAGCAGAGCAGAGTTGAAGCACAGCAGAGCAGCAACCAGAAATGAGCATGCTTGACCCCATAAAGTAAGCCAGAGCAACAAGCCAAAAATAAGGCAAAGCATAGCAACATTGAAGCACAGCAGAGCAAAAGTAGGCACCAAGAAGATATGGTAATATCACAGACTGACCAAAATCCTGCATACCACAGATTGACCAAACTCCTGCACCCTTGCAGCAAAAAACACCAAACACCACCCCCTCAATCAAACTTTGATACTATCCAGAATACAATATATGTCGTCCACTGAATACTGTAGGCCTCTATAACTTTGCTTACAGCAAAGTGCAACTCTCACTTTCACCATCTCAGCCAATTCAGGCCCATCAACAATCTTATCATTAAAAAGGCAATCATTCCTACCTTTCCAAATCATTCCTAGGTGTGCAATACAAAAGAATACATATATAAACTAGCTAAGATTTGGGGAACAGAATGGCTAGAACACCCCACTCTAATTGAGCATCTGCCAGCATGGCTTGGGCTTGGTCCAACTCAGCTTTAGTTGTCTGAATGGATGCAGAACGATGTCTAATTTGGGAGAGCATCATCCTTGCTTCTTGATTAAGCTGGTCATGTTGCTGCTGCAGATGAGCCTTTCTTTGCCAGACAGAGGCAAGTTCTGCCATGAGTTTGGCTTCCTCAAGTTCAAGTGCTGAGTGTTGCTAAAGAATGGCTGCAGAGGTTTGCTGGCTGAGTTTGAGTGAAGTAGATATGGTGTGGGCTTCGTTTAGGAAATCCTTTTTGGTTTGAATATCCTTCGAGCAAGTCTGAACCATCTCTGAAAGGGTTGGCCATTCCGTGATGATCTTGGCCAATTGCTTTAGTTGAATGGGGTTGAAAGGATCTGGGGAGAGGTTTACAACAGCAGAAAGACAGACCAAGGTTTCATCAGGTTTGTGGAGAATGATTTCTTTAACTGGGGTGTTAATGAGGTTGATGAAGGTGGTTAAGGTTTGTTGAGTTTCAGCATCAAACAGATATAGCCTTTGAGGCAATGGGGATATTTCGTCTAGATCTTGTTGAAGAATAGAAAGTTCGGCCCAAATATCCTGGCATGGACCGACAGCCTGTGAACATTAATAGTTTGGTGAGAATATATGCTTGTAAGTAATAAAGAGTAAATAGGATGAGGTTGGAAATGGTAGTACCTGTCCTGATAACGTACGCGCAGACGGTTGGCCTTGTTCAGCTGTGGTTGTGGCATCAGGACGAGTTGTTTCTGGTACTGATGAAATGGCAGCATCAACGCCTTGAGGCTCTTTCTCTGGTTCTGCTAACAGGGAAAGTCATGAGGACCTTCAAGTTCTGTCTCGCCCATTGGTCGTGGAGATGAGTCCTGTATTATGTCCATCCTTGTAAATTGGAGAACAATACCAGTTACTTAAAGAGAAGTTTTTTTTCCCAAACAAACAGTAACATTTGTATTTCTATTTACATTGGTTGTGGTGAACTTCTGGTTAAGGGGATTTTGTGTTGTCATCTGTTGGAGAGGATTGGCTGTTGATTGAAATGTCAAATTCAATCCTCTGTGATTCTTTGTTTGAAGTTTGGGAATTGGAGGGGCTGGATGGTGATGGTTGAGGGCTAGAGACAGAAGGGACCATGTGTTGAGGAGAAGTGGAAGGATGTTGTGATGCAGATTGTGTAGATTGCTGTGGCGAAGACTGTGAAGCAGGTTGTAAGGAAGTTTGTTACGATGCTTCAGGTGGTGGTGGAGTTGGTTGTACAATGGGTTCTGTGGGTACATTGGTGATTGGACTGGGAATTTGATGAATGTGTTGAGGAGAAGTGGAAGCATCGTCATCATCAGCAACAGCAAAGAGTAATCTCCTTCTTTTTCTCTGCACAAAAGTAAGTGATCAGTCGGGCGTGAATGGAAATTGAGATGCTGTAAATATGTAAAGTGAAGGATTACTTGGTAGAGCTGCCCTGAAGGATTTGATGTTGTTTGGCCAACCATTTGGCTGAGAGGGATATCCCACTCACTTAGGTATGTGCTTAGAGCAGGAGCAGTGGAAGGCTCTTCTCTCTTCTTCGCCATGACCTCTGTCTCGGCAGGGGTACCGGTGGTAGTTCCTCTCTGTGCTTGTGTCTGTGCGGCTGCGAAAGAGTCTGCCATTAATTTTGGAACTGAGGGGGTGTTTGTCTGAGTAGTTGCATCCATTGGATCCTTGCCTTTACGTTGGTCCCTAACCAATGGTTCAGTAGCAGGCCCAATTTTGGCTGTCAAAGGTTAAACAAGTTAGTGTTGTAGAGAAAAAAAATAAAATTTGCATGACACAGTCAGGGATATGAAGTATATGAAGGAAGGATACCTGTAGCCTTAAGCTTGGAAGGCGAGGATATGCGGCCCTGAATATGAATACAAGTATCGTTAAGGCAGCTTTCAAGTGGCTTGCAGAAAATAATGGCAGTCATAAGTCCCCACCAATGGTCAAAAGCAGCCGAGCAGTCCGAAGTAGGTTTGAAGAAGAAGGGGCCAAAATCTTGGAAAAGTTTGGTGTTCTCTGTCAGAATGGATTCAGCTTGTGTAGGATCTTTGAAGTGGATTCTAGACCCAATCTCCTCATGGATGGTTGGGTGGAAATAAGGATAAGGGATAGCCTGTGAAAGACCAAATTGCCTGGACCATTGATTGGGACAGTATGTCTCAAAACTGTAGCTAGATAGCTTGGCGGAGGATATGGAACAGCCAACCATGACATGTCTAGAAGTGAGAATGTGTCTCCAACTCTCATTTTGTTCTTGGACTTACTCATTGTGTAAATCAGAAGGGTCTGTGAAGAGGAAGCAAAGTCTACTGGAGGAGAATTCAAAGTTTTGAAATGGCATGTACAGGTTGGAAGGTCTCTGCGAAGGAAGGTTGTAAAACATGGTAAGATGATTTCTGAAAGTGAGGATGGGTTGGCTGTTATAAGTGAGCAGTTGCTCAGCATAGGAGTAGCAAACAGGTTTCAAGGTGTTAGGTGGTGGGGGTCGTGCCTCAGGGAAATAGGCATACAACCAGGCCTGGAAGAGCCAGAAGGGGCCACCACAATTGCCAGAAATCTTCTTGTCGACAAAGGAAAATAGGGCCTTGTAAAGGGTGGCAAGAAGATAAGGGGCTAAAGCCATAATTTGGCCATCTTGCATACACAAGGCAAGAGGGAGGTATTCTTTCGTGATCTTGTACCCAAGGACACAAAAAAGAAACTCACAAAGCCAAAGTAAGTAAAAAGTAGTTCTTTCTTTGTCATCGACAGGGGAACCAGGCTTGCCTTGGTATTTTTTGGCAAAATCTATATAGCACATGTCAGTGTTTAAAGTAAATGTCACTTTTGGAGGCTCAGGGAGAGCATGAATTGGATTGCCCAAGATTGGGAGACCAGTCAAGTGAGCTACATCTAAGATGGTAGGGGAAATCATACCAAAACTGAGGAGTAGGGAGTTACTAGACTGCGACCAAAAGCATGCAACAGCAGCAATCAGCCCTTTGTCCACGTCATAAATTTTAGTCGACAGTCTAATTGCTTCACCAATGCCCTGGTGCTTCCATACTTCAGCGTCGTGACCTTCAATTCTCCTGGCCCAGCTTCGCCAATCAAAGTCTGGTGACCTCCACCCTCTGAGTGGGTTTTTGCTGACATTCCAGTTAGTCCATTTGAGTCCAGCTTGGTTGAGAAGAAGGTTCTCACCATTACCAAGGGGATAGTATGGAGCTAGCTCGTCTGGGAAGTAAGACGCGAAGGTAGGGCCTAGAGTAGCCTTAACGACAGAGCTTGTGCTGGGCAATAGGGTTGCACCAAATTTTAGAGGAGAGATACGTGCTCTAATAGGGTCTGGGAAGCGGAGTAGGTCTTCATTGTTCTCCTCAGATGGAGATGGTTGAGATTTTTTCGGTGCCATGGCTTAGGGTTTTGTGGTGCTCTGGTTTTGAACGGCAATGGTTGAGAAGAAGGAGTACAGTCTGGGGAGTTCGAATCAGAGGGAAATGAAGTGGTTTGAAGTTGAAAGGGTGGGTCTTTTATAGCTTATGATGGGGCCAGTATATTTAAAAGCTCTTATATTGGGCTGTACTTTATGCTTGTTTTGGGCCCAAACAATGGCCCCCTCGTTGAAGTTAAATATCATATGACTTGGACCCCCACAAGGGGGGCTCTCTCTGATTGGCCCCTTTTTTTTTTTTTTTTTTCAATTTCTTATTTTTTTTCCTTCCCCAAACAGCAGCCCCCACGTGTGTGTGTGGGGGGGGGGAGGTGGTGATTGGTGGGGGTCTCAATCACTTCCGCAATATTTAACTTGAACATGGGGGCCATTGTTTGCACCAAGTTTTGCCAGTCTCTGTCGACAGATGGTCCACTTAATCGAGGGCATGTGGCCAAGTCTGAAGGAATGTCCACGACCTGAAAGTGGGCTCTCTGCATGTGGGTCACCTAGAAGTGATGGGGGAAGTTTTTAGCACCTCATTATGAGTTAGTGGGCACACTTTCAGGAGGAAGCATGAGACAAAGCAGGAGCCTTGCTCTGTCGACAGAAGTTTCAAACAGTTGGTGGCCATGAAATAAACACAAGAAAAGGGAGCTCGACAGATAGAAGTGGAGGTTTAGTATACTTGGAATGCCTAGAACGAAGATCGTTGGTTTCGATATTCGTATACTATTTTTGTGGCCCATCATTGCATGATCCCACACGTCTACACCATAACTGCGACTGTAACTGCCCCCTGACTTCGAATCTTCAAGTCCACTTTGCCAAATATTGACTCTTCCTTATCGACCTTCTTTTTCACCATTGTGGGGCATGTCCCTCATCATTATGAGACAAAAATCGATAGAATATTGTCCACTAAACACAACCACAATCCTTGCAAACTGGGCCACTGAACCACAACACTTCGCCACTCACTGTTACTGCCCCTAACTATGAATCATCAAACTCTGCCAAATATTGAATTTTCCCTGTAATTTAATCAAAATATATACAATATCGGTAAACTTGAAAATATGTTTGAAATAACCTTTTTCTGTATTGTAATGACTTAAACACAATTGTTGTCCTACATTTTACGTAATGAAAATACACAACTTATTTATATCAAAAACAAAATATACATCTCGGGTTTATAATCAAAAAAATGGGAACTACTTTTTTTTTAAAAAAAGTTCACTCATATTTTCAGCTACATTCTGATTGGATATTGGATTAAAAATTCCTCTTTGCACCTATTTTTCCCACATCCTCCCAACAGCTACTTCATTCAACTAACATTGAATCTTGCATGCCACCTGACTTACACGCTGGAGCAGTTACTGGCAGTGCTCATGGATTTAGTGGCCACCCTCCAAAAGGAAACATGAACGAATTGGGAGTCTGTATCTGTCGAGGAAAGGCTAAAAGGACCTGGGCACAGGTGGCAACTTCAATTATATGCACTTCGATAGGTACAAGTGAAGCTTTTATGTGGTTTCAATACACGGAAATGACCATGCAGTTACAGAAGTTGCACAGAAGCAGTTCCAGAATTGGCAGATCATGGGGTCGTGGGAATTTTATAGCTATAAAGGGCAGAATGTTTGCAGAGAGAGAGGACATGAACAACAACACAACTTATTTTCTACATTGTAACTTCTGTGTAGTTTTTTCCCTTCTACTTTCTACTTTGTTACAAACAACACAACAACACAACAACTTACTTTCTACTTTCTACTTTCTACTTTCTACTTTGTTACTTTCTACTTTGTTACCATCAGTTCATCGAAAGAAGTCTTCATCCATTTCAGGCATTTGAACCAATACCACAATTGCTTGATTTTTTTCTTGAACTTGTCAACTTTAAATTACTGCTTCGTTGCTGTCGATATAGGCCCACCATAATTTTACTAACAATAAACCCATACTTCCATAGTAAACATTAAATAATTTCACAACTCCTGTTCGTAACTCGTAATTCATATACCAATCGGCATGGAGATAAAGTAACGAGTTCGTTGGGTTACTTTCTCCAAGTAACACCCAAAATTAACTGCCACTTGCATTATATACAAAATGCATGTGCTGGTATGTAATTTTTCAAACCCACTTGGACAAAATTCGTATTTTACTCGAAATATAATACTAATTTACCGACACAAGTCATAACAAATCAATACGAAGCGAAACACATCGTTAGTTGATAAACCACACTGCAAAAAACCCTTCAGTTAGATCCAACCAAATATGGAACAGAGACAAGCAACCCGCAATAGGAATCTTGGAATACATACATAAGCCAATTTCTCACCCAAAACAATACACAGACAACCCATAAATATCTCACCTCACCTTCAATTAGTTTTCAAAATGACAAGTCACTGCAAACACAAATGACAACATCACTCTAAACAATATGGGAAATTTACAACTCGTGGCCTTGTACATAAATAACGTTGTGCCATTTCCTGGCATTGTACATAACCAATTATTTACACGTTACGTACAGCAATTCGTGCAAAATGAAAACTACATACATTATTTCCATGTGTTTTCAATAGCTAGTACTGTCTACCTAATAAATTAAGGGAATAAGTAAATCATACAAATTATACAATTACCTGATTCACCTCATCAATTGTGTTCAAATCATTTTTCCACACTGATGCTTCAACACTACCGTATTGGCCCACAGGCTGCTTGGAATCAGGAGAAACATCGAAAAATAGTCGTCGTTGCTTAATGTGCGGTGTACTTGGATCCACCAATCCAGTTTTGCAGCAAACGGGCAATGACTCCGCATTGTACTCACAGTCAGTTATGTGGGGTGTATCTGCATCTGAGTTAGTACCCACTGTTCGGCTAAACCGAACCTTAGGACACGTTCGCTTTGTGTGCCCAATGCATTTGCAATTCCCACATTTTCTTGGTCTTCGACAGTTGGACGAGGCCCGTCCTGGGTTCCCTTTTGTCTTCACAACATCAGGATCTTCTACTCCAAATTGTCGACGGAATGAATGTTTCCCTTTGTCTCCATTCTCACCGTTCAAATTCCTCTCATATAACTCCTTCATCCGGCTCGTCATCGGAAGACATGCATCCCTAGCCTCTTTGAAACCTTCCGTTGATTGCGAGGCATAGAAACACATTTCGTTGTAGGAAGAACTCAATATCCCATACCAGGCCGTCTGTGTTGTAGTGCTATCAATTAAGGGTTGAGGCCATTGCTGGCCATCCTTGCTTGCAACCCTTGTCCATCTATGCAGCACACAAGTTAGGGGAATTTGCGTTAAATTTTCAGCTTTCATAACACATATCATATGGCAGCAAAGCAGCCCCAACGGCTCAAACTTCATGCAAGAACATCTCATTGCAGCATCCACTGGACTGTGTGTTACTATCCATGATCTGTCCTTCACTTTGTACTTATGAATATAGTAGCATTTCTGACCATCCGGCGAAGGGACCACGTCCTTGACATTCAACTTCCCCTCTTCTAAGATTTCATCACGGAACATTCTAAATATATTTCGGGTGAATAGCTCAGCCCCATGTCTCTCTATATCTCGTAATGGAGTAATCAATATCGGAAAAGTGTTATTTGTTCCAGCATCATCTCCAGCCTCGTTATACCTTATCCTTGCAAGAGCCCGATCATAGTGCCTAACAAATTCATATAGCTTCAATTTGTGTTGGAGGAAGGGATTGAAATAAGCATTCATACACTCCGAGCGCTGAGTGCTCTTCATCCC